TTCCTGCCATGCCGGGGCGGCCCGGGCCGGGGCAGCGGGAGGGAGCCGGGCTCCCAGTCGCCTGGGGACACCGCGGCGTGGGGCTGGCTGCGCCCCCGGCAGCCCCGGCGGAGCCCTGACCCCTTCGCCCATCGTGGGTGCCCGGGCAAAGAGCTGGGACGTTGTCTTGGAGTTGCAGCGGATGCTGTTCTGCTGCCCGGCAGCTGCGAGGCCTCTGCAGCACAGGGAGAGCGTGCTTAAACGCCAAAGAGCCACGGGATGAAACAGAATCCATAACTACTGTTTTAAAAATACATCTAAGTGACTTTGCAGACAGTGGGGTCTAGAAATACAAGAAAAACATTAGGGAGGAGCCAGCACAACCGAGCAAAGGATCTGTATTAGAAGTAGCCTTGGCTTTTTCACGGACAGCAGTGTCGAGGAAGGGTCAGCTCCTGACGAGAATGGTCTGGTGGGACTGACGTACCCTGTTCTGTGAAGGGCCTCTGCCCTTCCTTGTACATGTGTCAGCCTCCCCGCGCTCGCCGTCTGTGCTTCCTTTGTCGTCTTTATGCAGGCTATAAAGTTAAGGGCAGGAAGTGCCGCCAAAGTGCCCAGCACTGCTGAGTTTGGCTTGCTGTGAGTCGGAATTACTGGAGCGGTTCCTTAACTCCACTGGCAAGCCACTCATGTCTGTGTCTGCACAGTGGAAATGATAGCACAGCAGAAAGGGGATGTTAGAGATTTGTGAAGAGTTTCCTGGTAGCTGGATACTACAGGTATGGAGGCTATAGGTGTATCACAGAATCACAGAATGCTTAAGGTTGGCAGGGACCTCTAGAGATCATCTAGTCCAATCCCCCTGCACACGCAGGGTCACCTAGAGCACGTGGCACAGGACTGCATCCAAGCGGGTTTGGAAGATCTCCAGAGAAGGAGACTCCACAACCTCTCTGGGCAGCCTGTTCCAGTGCTCTGTCACCCTCACTGTTAAGAAATTTTTCCTTAAGTTCCTGTGGAACTTTTGATGTTTCAGTTTTTGCCCTGCGCTGGACTCTCTCCAGCAGCTCCACATCCCTCTTGTACTGTGGGGCCCAGAACTGGACACAATACTCCAGATGTGGCCTCACCAGGGCTGAGTAGAGGGGCAGCCTGCTGGAGACCTGCTATCACCTGCTCGACCTGCTATCTATAGAGGCAGAAAAAAAATAAGATTAAAAATGATACAGAAATTTTAAAAAGTCCAAGTGAGAATAACCGGTTCAGTACCAAGAGAAGTTGGTAATATGTTGTCCAGTCTACACCTCACTAGAAGAACTGACTGCTACCAGTTACCCTTGAGGTCTGGATTCATGACTCAGGAGTCGTGATGCCTAGGATGCCTGAAGAATAGCAAGCATCTGAAGTGATTGAACAGTGAGTATTAAATGAGAGTATTGCAAAGTGTATGAGTTACTCTTCAGTATAAATGTCACATAAGTAAATCTCTGCGCTGTAGAGATCCTGCCCCTGGGCTCAGATCTGAAATCCACACTTTACTTATTCAAACATTATTTTACTTTGAATTTTGCCACAGCAAGCATTGAGTGAAAAACTGTATGTAGTTTTGGGCTTGTTATTTTTTGGGTAGCTATTGCTTGTTAATCCCGCAAAACCATGGTTAACCTTTTTCTTCCAAGACTTGGAGTTACTCAGGGGAAAGTGGAACAGTTGCAAAAAATATTTGAACAGTTGTCTAGGAAATGTGATGTCAGTCTGTCCTGTTTCTTAATCGCCCTGTGACCTGTATTCAGGAAAATGCTTACTTTCCCTAGACACTGCTAACACCTGGCTGTGGTAGTTTTCAAATTCCCAGTATTCACCATTAAATTAATGAATTGTTGAAGCTAGATA